ATAAGGATTTCCACGGGCAGACTTAGTATATACTTAGTATATACGTATTCATATAAGGTGCCCCAGAGGTCGTACGCTTTTATCCGCTAAAGAATTTTTGAAGAATTTAGAGATGTTCATTTCAACATCTCGTAAGGGAGTATATTCAACTTATTTTCGTAAGCTTTTTTCGATATTGTGTATCTCGGTAACACAATATCAAATTGTCAAATGTTCCATTTGAAATCTATCTGCAAAATATGATTTCATACCTTATTTGCAATTTAAATCATCACTAACCGTTTTATTGACCAATTGCATATAATTTAAGCGTAATATAATGATGTTTCGTAACATTAAGTAATTATTACTTTTCTAACATTACAATATTAAATATACTTTTAAAATCTTTTGCGTCTGCCTAATATTTGTCATTTAGAGAAAGCGAGCAATCTCCGAAGTACCCTGTATATACGTACCTGACCACTTGTGTATATGGGATACACATGTGTGCTTATGTGTATCGCTATTTTTGGCCGGATCGAGATACGACCCCAAAAAGCTATCGGTACAGCCGTCGGTTGTCGCGAAATCCGGAAGCCGCACCCGTTTCGAGGGCTGGACATGGACGTGTGCGGCCCCTTTCTTTTTATGAAACTTCCGATAAACGCCCGCTGGCAAGGATTTCCGTTTCATTCGTCAACCTGTCCGACCCGAGACCCACGCGCGACACTCTTCTCTTTCTGCCTCTTTTTATTACTTTTCGAATATTTATTATATTTTTTCTCTCTCGTTTCATTGTTACTTACGCTTTTTTTCTAACGAAAATATAAATCACAGAATATCGAAGAAAATATTTTAATCCTCATAAAGTACATTATTGTTAACATAAGTTGAAGCTACGTATCATTAGGAATATACTTACATTTTAATTGCACAAATAATTTTCGCCACATTGATTTATAACTCAAGTCGGATTCCGATATATGAATCTGATTTCTATAGAAAATATACTTCTATTTCAAATTTCTATCTAATGTTCTCCACATTATTTTGAACATTTAAAACTTTTTTTTTAATTTACATATCTACATTCTCTCGGACGCGATTCATTCATGGTGCCAAATATCGAAAAGATATGAATGCACGTAAATCGTCAGGTTACTGACCAATCAGAGACTGGCAGAATTGGAAGTCGGATCTAGAGATTAAAAGATTTTAAGCACACTCGTATGACATATATATATGACATATATATATATATATAGAGAGAGAGAGAGAAGGGCCATTCCCTTCCCTCATATTAACGATGCATCAAAAATATGATTTTGATCTTCAACAGTATTCCCATATTCCAAATTCCATTCTCAAATTATACACATTGCACTTCGCACACAATCGCTTATGCGTAATATGTTAAAGAGTTATTCCCGCTTCTTGTGTTTTGCTTTCAATACCATTTAATTCTAGAAACACCAAAATTCCATTGATTACATTAAATAATATCAGAAGAAACGAAAATATTCTTCTCCTTGTGCACTCTTCCTTTCATAATTTTTAATTTTATCTTATAATAATTTGTATTGAAAGTATGTAGTTGTTGTATCACTGAAAAAAATTCTGGTTTTTTTTAAAACTTTGGACGAATCAGAATTTTCTGGTTAAATTCTGATTAAATAGCAGAATTCTGGTTGATACAATATGGTAAAATCTAGTAAAATTCGTATTTTTTCCAGAATAATTATATCAATCAGAATTTCAGTTATTTCAACTATAATTCTAGTAGATTTTACCAAAAAATTCTGAGACTTTCCACCAAAATCACTATTTAATCCAACTAGATCATTTTCCTCAGTGTATTATAATATAAATTCTGTATCAATATTTATTAAGTAAACATAATTTTTTTCAAGATAAAATACTTGCTAGCATTTGTTATTGAGATTTGGTGTTCTTAGATGAAATCCTGCGATATTTTAAGTTGCTTGCATAAAATAGGTATAGTGAAGATATAACTTGTTATAATTTTCTGAAATAGCCTACAAGAAAAATATATACCCGACGAATTTTTTGGAGCTTAAAGACTGAATTTAAATAAATAATTTTTAACCATATATATATATATATATATATA